TGGAGATAGATATAACATCATGACTAGCAATATTGCTGAGCAGTTGAACAATGCACTGTTGGAAGGTAGGGGAGCCAACATTGTTGAGTTGGTTAAATTCATACAAGGCATGATGACGAGATGGTTCTGTGCAAGGAGGAAAAAAGCCGAGAAACACAGAGGTGCTGTGAGCGTGGAAGTGGACAAAGAGATGACAAAGAACATGGCCACTGTTAAAGGTAGCAGGATAAATGCTGTTGATAGTTGGAGCAGCCAGATAGTTGGAAAGTTTGGCCGATCAGACAAGGTAATGCTAGCTGAGAAAAAGTGTAGTTGTAAGTATTTTGATGATATCAAAATACCTTGTGGCCATGCTATGCTTGCAGCTGACGGACTTGGTGTGGCTTACGAAACATTGTGTGGGCATTGGTACAAGACATCAGTGTGGAGAGAGACATATGCAGGTGTGATCAGTCCAGAGGGTGATCCAAGGGATGTTGAAATACCTGAAGAAGTCAGCAGTATGGTCCTTTACCCTCCTAACACAAAAAGGCAAGCTGGTCGCCGTCGCAAGACACGCATACCTTCTACGGGGGAGATACATGTGAGTTGGTACATTGAAAATGTTTAACTTTGAAGATATTGTTTGGTTGATAGTATATTTGTATTGTTGCAGGTCCCAAAGAAGAAACAGGTGCAGAACAGATGTGGTAGGTGTAGAGGTGTTGGACACAACCGCACTAATTGCACCAACCCAATATAGAACTTGGTGAATGAAGTTGGTATTTTGACGATACAGAGTATCCTGTGATCGCCGGATTGGAAGGTTAGATATTGACAATGGCAAGATTATTGAAGGCTATTTTAAACATGATTTGAGTGTATTTTTTTGGGTACCATGGAGTATCTTAGTTATGTGGAGATTTTCCCCTATGATGGCTAGAGTAAATTGTAAACTTGTGGCCATCGATCGAGATGAAGTTCTACTATTTTGGAAGTGGATGTGGACATGTTTATTTTGATTAAGGGTTGGTCATGTTTGTTTTGGTAGAGCTCCGTTTTAAACAGGTTCGTTTTAGTCATGTTAAGGAGTGGATTTGTTTTTTGAGTTTGGTAGAACTGAAGATTGCTCTTAGAATAGGAGCATAATTGTTTAAAAAGCGACATCTTTCACATAATTGTTTAAAAAGCAACATCTTTCACAACAAATAACATTGCAAGATGCCATAATCAGAGAAGGTCTACCAGCGTCAATCCTAGTACATTACATTGAAGCAAAATTAGAGCCGATAACATAATACATAATGTTGTTTCAGAACGAAGGATAGGTGAAATGGAGGAGTATACTGCTCTTCCACCAATTAGGAATTGAGCTTGGTGTAGAGCCATGCCATTGTTCCTAGTGCAATTGCTGCAACTGCGATGTTGATAACTTGTGATTTTGACTTGTACTCAACGGGTGGGAGGCATTGAGCAGGCAAAGTATCTTCTGTGGCGGAGTCTGAGTTGTTGTTTGTCCCACTTCGAGCAGTTTGGTCATCAAGGAGCGTTTTGATTTGCAGAAGGGCATCTTCAAGGTGTTTTGCTTGCTTTTCCAAACTGTGTGTTGTGAACCTCTTGAAAGAGTCTACATCTGCCTTTAGGTGACAATGTTTAGCATCGACAATGTTAATCTCGTCAACAATGGCCTCGTCGCACCATTTGAACAAGTGGTGTTCTGCTTTCCTCTAAAAAATATTCTCTCAATTTTGAAATACTTTAGATTATGATGTTAGATGAAAGTAGTGTATTAAGACATGGATTTGGAGCATACCTTGACGCCTAGTTCGCACCGATGAAACCTGCGGAAAAGATTCTCCTTGGTTGAAGCGCCGAATGTCGTCAGGTTTGATCCACACCAACAACGAGTGGGGATGCCCACTGTCTGTCTTCCTGTCTGAGAACGAGATGAAGAATCAGATGAGCTCATGTCGAAGATTAAGGAGAATGTGTGGAAGTTTTGGGGAGGATAGTAGATCGGATCTAAATAGGGATTTGTCTTGAATCGAGACTTCGGATATTATACTGAAACGTAAGTTTGTTTGAGTTCCGATATTATGTGAAGGCTGACATTTCCTTGGTAGTTGGGCCGTGTTGATTTCTTTAATGGGCCTTGTAGACGCCAATTTGTGGATATGGACACTATTGCCATTCCGATTGAGTATTTCACGGTACGTGGATGTGGACGAAACTTAGACATTAGCATATTTTCATAGAGAATTTATAAAACGGAAGCAATTAGTAAATAAAGTCTAGAACTAGCGTATAGTTTTCGCCACGACTGGCAAGCATCGCATCAAAAACATTAAACTAAAGACAGAAGGAACCTCCAAAATATTACACAAAAGAAGGGAGGAGTTCGGTGGTTAACGTCTAGGCCTGAGTAGATGTCCATAGTAAGAAGGGAGGACTATGGTTTTGTAGATGTCCATAGCGTACTGCTTTCGTAGGTCGTCCACGATTGGGTCTGTGATGCTGTTCATATGAGGGGTTGGGTCACCATGGGCGTGCATCTCCAAGAACTTCATGCTGACGGGTCCACAATCACCAGATCGAGTGTTTGTGTAAAGGTCTGGAATACGTCTGCAGACAAAGGGCTTGAGGCCACTGAATTGTGTTAGGTCACACATAGCGACTTTCTTCACAAGGTAAGGGAGCGAAGCAAGCAAGGGTTGCATGAACCGAGCCACACGCCTGTCTGCGTACAAAGTTGGAAGAGGATCAAGTATTTCAATTAACCCCATGTCAAGGTTAATTGCTAGGCCAACCCAATGGGAATCGTTCCAGACCATAGGCGTGTAAATTGTGGTGATATCTTCCATCCACTTCTTCCCTGGGTGGAGAACAAAGTCGACAACACGCTGGTCCCAAGTGAATGTGTTTTTCTTTCTAGAGGACTTGAATTTGGCATAGTTGGTCAGGATAGATGCCGGTAAGATGGGTGACGCGAATGCAGCTTTTTCCCTCTCCAGTATGTCGGAGTGTCTTTCAGACAGCATGTGCACAAGGATTTCCATTTGCTGTTCAAGATATAAGTGTATGGTCAGATAATAAGTAACAGAAGAAAGAACATAAGTGTATGTTCAGCATGTGCACAATCATTAGTTTAAAACAACAGAAGTGTAGCTCAGATAATAAGTAACAGAAGAAAGAAAACGGAGGCTTACATAGCTTGTTGTCCAGTGCTTTGGTTCGGCTAATTGGAGGAGGGATTTGTTGGAGAATTCATACAAAGATGTTGTAACGTGGTAACTGTGATTCCCAAAAAAATTAATAGCATGTAAGAGAGTATGTTAAAATACGATTGAAGGAGTTGTATATTAGTTAAACTTACACGTCTATGTTGGCTGAAAGAATTTTGTGGAAAAGGTCCCACTGGATCTGTGGAAGTGGGGTGATGAGGGCTAGAGCAGGAATAAGTGGAGAACTGAGCAGTTCCTTTGCAAGATGGTTTTCCTCCCTAGATGGAACATGTCTGGAGGGGTCTTTTGTTAGTGTGAGGTCGACAAGGCCATCCTCAATAACCTGTGTTCCCTGTTGATTTGAAAAAGAAATGTAAATGAATTGTGTTTGAAGGGTATTATGGTGGGAAGGTATGTATGAAACGTACCTGAGTAGCAGAAGCAGTACTTCCTATGGAAGGTGGAGTGTTGGATAAAGCTGTGGTTGTAAAAGCATTGGGTGTGGCTGCGTGGCCCGCGAAACCTAAACCACTATCAGTACTCTTAGTTGGAGAGGTAAGTGGTGTAAAAGGGAGTGGTGACAAACGTAAATGAGAGCCTTGAGGGGATGATGGACCAATCGTGGAGTCGAAGACAGGTGGGTTGGAAAAAGTAGGGTCGGGGCTGATTGGGTCGTAAATCCTTTTTCCATGAAGGAGTATGTGATTAATTTCGGGGCTGTTGGGATGATCACTTTTATCGTAGATAACAGAGTTGGGGTGGTATTGTTCGTCAGCAGCAGGACTTATCATGTCAGTGTTTTGTGATGGAAGAAAAATGGTTGCTATATGAACCGGGGAGGAATGAGAGCTAGGGGGAATGTTGTCAGCAATGCGATCATGTTCGTCGGTTTCGTGGTCAGGTGAATCGTGGTCGGTATTGTTGTTGTGGTCGGTATTGTCGTGGACAGGAGATGCGTGGACGGAGGTATTGTTGTGGTCGCCAGAGTCGTGGACAGGTGATGTGTTGACGGAAGTGTTGTTGTGTACAGCAGAGTCGTGGACTGTGGTTGTGTGGATGGTCGACATGAGCGGTGTTTGGCGGTGGATATGTGCTGCGTACTGACTTATGATAGGTGAGTGGATTTGAGGAGGATCATCTGTGTCCATTGCATCATCCTAAAAGCAAGAACAGCAGAGTGTATAATGAATAGTTTAGTGTGGAAGAACATAAGTTGATTTACAAAACCTGATCAGTGGGGGGTTCTTGGTGGAGTGGTGTTAGTTGTTCAGGCTCTACACTCTGATGAAATGTGTCGGAGACCTCCTAAAAGGACATATACAGTGTATTAGAAAAGGTTGAATTTTTTTTTGGTAATAAACGTTCGCTATAAGAACAATGTAGATTGAACTTCACCTGATCAGTGGGGAGATCGTCGTTGCGTGGTGCTTGGGGATGATCCTAAAAACCGAAAAGCTTGTATAAGAAAATCTAGGAATCATAATTGGAATAAATGCTTTATTATGAACACAATTAGATCTCTACCAAGCTTGTAAAGTATCACAAAAAATTGAAAAGTATCACAAAAAGTTGAAAAGTACATTGAACCGAACCTGATCATTTGAGAGCTGAGATGTGTTTTTCTTCCAACGAGACATTGTGGTATGAAAAGAAGTTTGCCTTGCATGAGTTTTCTTATGCTTACGCCTCAAGAGTTTCTCCATCTTGTTCATCTGCTTCTGTAATTTGATAACCATTGCCGAGAGTTGTGCATTGGAGAAAGTGGTGATGGAATCAGTCGAGAAGTAGGAAGTTATGCGCCTTTGCTTGCTTGAAGAAGTATCCTTCTTGATGACCTTCTTAGGCTTGAGAGATTGCTTAATACGAGTGGACTGTTTCTTCCGGTTTCTCGACTTACAATGATACTTAGGCTTTCTAATGAAAGGCTCGGTTGCGACACCACCTGGCCACATAGCTTTGGTGAAAGTGTGCTGATCAGCTATCAATTGTTCCATGTAAATGACACTATCATCCTTGAAGTCATTGGACCAGACTCCCCAGCCGGGATGTGATTGACTTTCAATAGGTATAATTGGTGACACAACAAGCTGAAAATAGATGATAGTTTGTTAGTCATTGAATCTAATTGCTCAATCTGGAATTCTAAAATATAAGAGAAGATTACTTACATCAGTAGAGAACTCTACTCGGAGGATATCAATGTAATTGATGGAATGGCGTTGTGGTAAATAACCATCTTGTAGGTCCATTAGTGTCCCCTGATCAAGTGGCGCAGGTATGAAAGACAGCAGCTGAGGGATTGCGCGAAAAGCCAACAATTGAAGTGACAAAGGGAAGCCTTGAAGTCTGAAAGAGTGCTGCTTGAGTTTGCTCACCAATGTAGCAACAGGATCAGGGCATTTCGGGAGCTGTCGCTTGGGAGGTTTCATGCATGAGATAGTCTTTAAAAATGATTCTCTACCCCAAGGAAAGTCAAAGAAGGTGTCCAAATTTCCGACCATCCTAACATATCGAGGAGTGGGCCGTGCTTCTTGTTGGTGAGCAATGAGCACACCGTCCACAATGATGATCAAAGCGATTCGTATCTTCCTCCAACTTGACATGTTCTTCTCCTTTTCAAGCATCTGACACAGTTGAGCAACAGTAAGCGACTTCTTCTTCCCAAAAAGACGCTTCCACACTTTATCTTTGCCCGCAACAACCTTTTCAGCAGTGTCAGGATGATATCCATCAGGGAAAGCTCCACAATGCAGACCAGTGACAGTACCAAACTCTTCAAGACCATAACGGAGAGGGGTACCACCGAAAGCAGACCAAAGTGTGTGGCTTGGTAGACAAATAAGCTGCCGAGTGAGTAAAGAGTGAATTAGCTTTGCAGATACTGGACATTGGCGAACAGGGATGTCGAATAGCTTTCCAAAACTAGACTGGCGAATTGTTTGAAACTCTGGAGTATCCCTAAGAAGATGACGAAGGAAAGGGAGGATCTCCGGTGAAGAGTATATATTGAGCTTGTTGATGGGGAATCTATCCGTCGCAAAGAGTCTCGGCGGGAGGCGGAGATCCGGTTGCAAGTTTCCTATTTTTGACAAAAAAACACAGAAAACCGCAAACGACAATTTCAGATAAAACAAAAATAGAAGAATCATAACACAAAAAGTTTCGGAAAGACGCTTTAAAAAAAGAAGAATCATAACACAAAAACTGATTTTGATGTTTGAGAGAATAAAAAGTGCTTTTGAACTTCTTAAACGTTTTATAAAAAAGTTTGAGAGGAAGTTTCAGAAAGACTTCTAAACGAATGCTTTTGAACTTCTAAAACTACATCTTCTAAAAGAGGTTCAAAAATCGTCAGAAGTTTTTGAAGTCGGGAAAAAAAATAAAAACAGAGCAAGTACCTCCTCCGTTCTCCGGTGGATGTAGAGCCTCAGAAGTTTTAGAAGTCTTCATCTTCTTCTTTGGCTTCCCTTTCGTCATTGTTGAGGCGTCACGGAATCTAGGTTTGTCGCATGCGAAAGAGGCATTGGGAGAAATTGGAGAGAGATGGAAACTGAAATTAGGGTTTTTGATTTGTGAAAGGGGAATTCCGATCTGGGTTCAAATTAAAGTAACTACGGTTAAGTAACTACGGTTAAGTGAGATGTTGGTTAGTTTAAGTAACTACGGTTAAGTAACTACGGTTAAGGGCATAAATGAAATCCGACTCTAATAAGTGCTCTACTTGAATGAAGTGTCTACGAATGATAATCATAAGACAAAAAGTGTCCTAAGAGGTAAAAAAATCTATATATATTCTAACACTGTGGGGACCAAATCTATTGAACATTGTACATATCAACATCTATTTTGTATTTATATATATGATATAATTTTTCTTTAACATCGCTACTTCTCTTTGTTTTTATTTAAATACAGTGAGCTGGTGTCGGCTTTCCAAACGTAAAATTTATACGATCGTCTGTCCATTAGCTAGATTCAAATCCTTTTCGTTATCTTCATAATTTTCCGAACACGCTATTGTTTTTATTTTGAAACATTAGTTATTTGCTTGGGTAGGTACCAATATATACGAAACCTACGATTTTTCTTTGTCTCTATTAGCTACAGTCACATGTTTTTGCATAACACTGTTTTCTTGTGAATATCAGCGATATCTGTGTGGAGGTCCTTCATTGTATATTATTCTAAACGTATAGTATTAGTATAATTGACTTTTGGTTTTGCGTTACATCCGAGTCAACCACCAAGTTGCACTGACATGTTATATATTCAACTTGAGCATAAGAACATAAAATAATATGAGAGACATGTATGGTGAATGATTAACAGATTTTGAATGATAATTACAAATAATACAAGAAGACAATAATGAGAATTGTTGTCAGTAAATTCAAAAAAAAAAAAAGAGCGAGAGAGAGCATCGTAGAAGGGTTAACCCTAGTTCTGGCCGCTGTTTGGTATAGCTGGAGTCATCACCTTTTCTTTTTCCTTTTTCTTAGATTTTGCTCTCCACCCCCCTTTCAGATTTAGACCGGATCGATATGCAAGCGATTCTGAAGAAAGTAAAATCCTTGGAATGGCGTGGTGCTGATCGGAGTAGGAGAACCTGTTTGGAGAAGCAGCGAGATGTTGGCAAGGCTGAGGGGAGGAGAGTCGGCTTTTAGGTTTGTAGATCTGACCAGATCTAGTTTTGTCCTTTCAAGATCTTGGTGACGATCTTTCTGATGATGGCGCGTGAGAAGGGAAGATGCCTCATCCTGCTCGACTCTGGTCTCTTTGTGAGGCGGTGAGATAGATGGAGAAGAGGTGTGACAGAACGGTAAATAGTTGGCTACGGTGAGTCTCAACTCCAGTTAAGCCACACTTAGAACCCTATCGCGTTTTTCTATCATCACAAACCGTCCTTCATTCCAGAATATGTTCCGGCTTAGTCACGACAAGAGACAGGAATTACGGCGGTCTGATCCATCTTGGTGTTGCGCTTCTTTGGCGGGATTTCTGCTGGACACGGACCCGATTCTGATTACTTGGAGCCACCAGATGGAACTGACAAGAGAATCTGGATGGGTTATGACTTCCCGGAGGTTCAATGTCTTCACCCCTCGTGGTCTTTCGGAGTTTTTCTTTTTCTTTCGGACCTTTTGTCCGCCAGCGGCAGAAGCTCTTTGCAAGGAATATCAATGGCTTCATGTCTTCTCTGGAAAGCGCCCTTGGGTGTAGAGGCTATTGGGACAAGCACATAAATCTTATCCATGGTGATCATAGCGTGAAGAGAAGTGTAATCTCCAGTTTGACTTGGAGCCGATGTTTTTCCATGTCCACACGGCTTATGTTTGCCTTTAGGTATAAGGTTCAGGGACTAAGGCGCTGATATGAAGGTGGCATTTGGGCAATACGCATTTCCAGTGTTGTGTCAAGTGGTCCAAGCATTTCAAGTTGATCCTTAGGTGATCACTGCCAGTCTCGAAACGATGTCTCGATGATGCTTCTTTAGGATTGGTTTGTTCTTTTCTCTTGTAACTATTGGGTCTAATTGAGTGGTTAAAGTGGTTGGATGTTGTGAAATGGTAGCATAGGAACCAAGTGAGTGTTTCTAGGTGATACTTGTTTCTTCATCCTTATGTCACAATTCACATTGTGGTTAAAGTTATTAGAGGCATTAATTCAACATCAACTTTTCATTAGCTAAATGATTCTAATACAATCAGATTGTAATTACAAAAAACAAATTGTTGTCAGTAACGCATTCTTTTTTAAAAAAAATTTGAGGATGTTACTTTTTCAAAATGACAATGCTTTTTGGAGATATTCTAAAGATATCAAAATGCAAAGTTATTATATTTATTTAATAGATTTATTTTGATAAATTTTCTATACTAAAAATGGATCATCCCGATTGCTGTGTCCCCTCCATGTGAGGCGATAAAAGATCTTCAATTTTTTTCACATTTCATAAATCCTTTTCCCAAGTCAACACAATGTCTACATCTCAATGTCAGAAGCTTCTTAAGATTATTGTACTTACTTGCATTAATAAAGGACTATATTGCTAATTTGTCGATTATCTAATTGGTCACAACTCACAACAGTGTTTATTTTAACGTCGGCCACAACATTAACAATGGTTCACTTCTTCACATTTTTGGTGGAAAAAGAAAATTAAAAAGCAATTGATATGACTGATAACTACTCTGATAGAAAAATAAGAGAAATAATGGAAACACCACCACTACTTTAACATTCTTTATTTAGAACATCATTATTGATTAAAAACATTCTTTAGAGTATTTCTCAAATATACTAGTACAATATTTTTCGAAAGACACTGAAAAAGGTTTTTTCACTAAAGAGCACACAAAAAGAGAAATAACTAAACATGTTTCATTAAAGAGATAACAATCTTTATACTCATACTTTATAAATATTTAAATATAATTAATTATTTAAATAAATAATAAAATAATATTTTTTATTATTTTTGACTAATATGTTTTTCATTTTTCTAGCTTATGTTGGAACCTTTCGAAATCATGCTCCTACTCGGTTAAATCAAGACACATTCTTTCCATGTCTAAACCCTTGAGTCTCCCTAGATCTCTATGCCTAGTACCACTACCCTCAAAGATCATATCATTGCATAAGATCAATTACTTTGTATAGCCGGCTATCTCAGATTGTATCCTAGTATGTAGTAGACTTTCAGATGTCATTGTAATACCAACATGAACTGCCCAGTGTGTGGAGCAGAGGAGGAAGTTATAAACGATATGTTTTTTTAATGTCTTCCCTTCTTCCAATTTGGGCCTTGACGAATATACCGCATTTTGTAAAAAAAGTTTCGAGTACATCGATCTACGATAATCTCAACCATCTGTTCTAGCAAGCGAAGGAGCTCTAAATCCAACATCTCTCCTAACTAATGTGTTATGGATCTTGTGGTTCATATGGAAGACCCCAAATGATACAACTTCCAATGCAAAAAAAATCTTCCTGTTGGATATAATCCAAATTGCAATCTCTAAGACAGGAAACTGAGATTGACGTACACTGTAAATTCCTTAAAACTCCGAGGAAACCTTGGCCCTGAACCAAGGCCCATCCACCTGACATAGATGCTCGATTGATGCCTCATGGCTCCAAGATGACATCTTCTTTGGTGGAGGGGGGGGGGGAACTGATCATATTGACTGAGGATGAGACAATGACTTTTGTTCATTTGCTAGTAATTGCGTTCTAACCCCCTACATGCCGAGTTTCATGCTCTGTTGTAGGCAATGAAATCCTTCATTCAACTGGATCAACTTACCATAATCTTTGAGACGAACTGTTTGTAATTGGTCAAGATTCCTGAAGATGAAGAAGAAAACAATTGACCTTAAGTGTTAGCTGGATGCGAAGACTTTCATCTGATTTTCTCTATTTTTGAGTTTTGCTTTGTATCAGATATTCCGCATTCAGTAAATAATCGTACTGATTCCCTTTCAAAAGGAACTAAGTCTAAGAACTTTGCTTTTTCTCATGTAAACACTAGGCTTCCGAGGTGGACGGTTTTGGAGACCAACCTCTAAATTCTTAATAAAATATGAATCTTATGATGTAAAGAAAAGATGCCATTACTTATAATATAATTTTATTGATCATATTTATATTACGATAATTCTCTTAGATAATATTTTTTAAGTTTATTTCACTAAAATAATTTCTAAAGAAGAAAATAACCAAAATAAGTTTCATTGAATATACAAAAAAAAACCTCTAGCATATATTATTTTATAGATTTATAAATTGAAATAATTATTTAAAAAAATAAAAAGATTTCTGTTATGTTTTTTGAATTATATGTTTTCAAATTCAAACTTTTATAAATTTTGGATATTTATTTATTACAATTCTAAAGCTCATCCTTCAAAACTAATCATTAAGTATAAATTAGTTAACTAACTTTACGAGTATTTGTGTTTACTTACCTTTTAATAAAATATTTATTGGTCATCTTTCTCTTTGAGGCTCTCTTGGTGAATTTTTTCTTAAAAAAATCATCATTGGTAATTTCTAAAACTCAATATAGTAAAAATATAAAGTCAAGTCCAGAATCTCATGCAAATAAAATGTATAGTATATAACATGATTATATTCTATATTTATAATATATAGTACAATTTTCTGATTGATGTCCAAAATCCAGTTAATTGTTTGTTACAATGTGCTGTAGTTATATTGTTAATTTTTGTTCCAATGTGGTATTTTTTTTTTTGTCATCAGTTTTGTTCGCTGTGGTTATTGAGCAGATTCACTCCACTACAACCACAATGCTATTTTGTTTTGTCATACGTACGTCATAAGCCAAGTAAGTATCATCTGAGATATGTACATATTGTTATCCATCGAAAGTAATTTTAAAAAGAAGAATTAAAGCACGAGGACTTTTAAGAAGAGTTGAAAACAAAACAGTAACTCAGACGCAAAACTCCATAAAACGTCGGCCCCCACATGAGCTTTATACTCGCTCATCATTAATCAATGCTTCAGCTACACTCTCTGTTAGAAAAACCTCAACACATTAATCTTTCAACTTCATTCTCTTTCCAAGTTGCAACATTCCCCAGAAAACAAAGACAGCAACTTTTAGTCAAAGCTTCTTCTAGTTTGATCAGTTCTCAAAGAGGGAACAAACAAGAACGATGAGGAATAAGAAGAAAGACAACTACTTTATGCTACTGAGTTTGCTTCTGTTTCTGGGTACATGCGTTGGAGACTACGGCATTGGAGTAGGAATCGGCGAAGGTGGAGTCTGGGTCGGCGGTGACGGTGGCGGAAACCCTAATTCCGATCCTGGCTCGGCTCCAGAGCAACAGACAAATCCAGCTTACAGTGCTCTCCAATCCTGGAAATCCGCCATAACAGAGGATCCATCTGGTGTTCTTAAGACATGGGTTGGTGAAGATGTCTGCTCTTACAAAGGAATCTTCTGTTCAGGCTCCTCTGTAACTGCCATAGATCTAAACAAAGCAAATCTCAAAGGCACCATAGTCAAAGACCTCTCTCTTCTCTCAGATTTAACCATTCTCCATCTCAACAGCAACAGATTCTCCGGTCAAATCCCGGATTCTTTCAGAGCCTTATCTTCTCTCCAAGAACTCGATCTCAGCAACAACAGATTCTCTGGCTCTTTCCCTCAAGTCACACTCTACATCCCTAATCTAATCTACTTAGATCTCCGGTTCAACAGCTTCACCGGTTCGATTCCTCAGAGTCTATTCAACAAACAGTTAGACGCGATTCTCCTCAACAACAACCAATTCACCGGAGAGATCCCCGGGAATCTCGGATCTTCATCTGCTTCGGTGGTTAATCTCGCGAATAACAAATTATCCGGCGAGATTCCGACGAGTTTCGGTATATCGGGTTCGAAATTAAAGGAGGTTCTGTTACTGAATAATCAGTTAACCGGTTGTATACCGGAATCGGTTGGATTATTCTCAGACGTTGAAGTCTTCGATGTTAGTTTCAATTCCTTGATGGGTCATGTCCCCAACACGATCTCTTGCTTGTCGGAGATCGAAGTTTTGAACCTCGGACACAACAAATTCTCCGGCGATCTTCCTGATTTGGTCTGCTCTTTGAAGAATCTGTTGAACCTCACCGTCGCTTTCAACTTCTTCTCCGGGTTTAGCTCCGAGTGCTCGAGGATCAGCTTCGGGTTTGACTTCACCGGAAACTGTATTCCCGGCAAGGGTTATCAGCGGCCGCAGCCGGACTGCTCGGTGATTCCCGGCGGCTCGTTGAGTTGCCTCAGGATTCCGGCGCAGCCGCTAACTTGCGCTGCGATCTTGGGATTGAGGTCATCTCCATGAAAATATATAAAGTTGGATCCTTTTTTGTTTCTTTTGATTATCTCTGTTGCAAGATTTGTTATGCTTTTGTGACTTTTGTTATGATAGAAAATGCCAAAAATGGTTTTATCAGTTAATTATTAATCAGGTGTTTTTAGAATCTAGTAGGATTGATTACCATAAGTTTGTTTCTGAATCTCTACCTTGTTTTCTTCTGCTCGGATCTTTCTGACAGGATTTAGAAAATAAATATTGATGAGCCGTTGCATTCAGGTGTTCCGATCAGATTCAAGTAATAACCAATCCTGTCAAAATCTATCTGCACAGAGGAGTTTTGGATTCTTATAAATATGAATAGAATTTAGTTTCAGTTTGTTTTAAATTTCGAAAACCAGTAAATATCTAAAATAGGTTTTAATATAGTTCGATTCCAATATTTTGTTTCTGAAATATTTATGGGCAATTCTCTGAAATAATCATTTTAAAACTTTTATCATAAAAAATAGATTTCAAAAATACAATGACCAAAATATTTTTTTATTTTAAAATTTGTAATATTTAGTTTTTATTTTTTATAAATTTGAAACCCTAAATCCAAAACTCTTCTTAACTCTAAATTATAAATCTAGATTAGTTAATTCAAAGATATAAATACATATTTAATAAAAATTTATTTTTGTCATTTTCCTTTTTAAAGATTATTTTTGTAAAAAAATATATTAAAAAAAAGACTATCCAAAAGAATTTTCAATATTTTATTGTTTAAAAAGTCAGAAAACCAAAAACTATTTTCAAACTTAGAAACTATATTTGCAAAGTGAAACTATACCAAAACTCCAAATATATCCAAACATCCGTAAAAAAAAAAAAAATTTCCTAAAATGTCAGTACCATATAGAAATATTAAAAATATATATATCCGAAAACAAATAGCTGAAATATTAAAATATATATCCATAATACTCAAATATTTGGAGGGTATCCAATTGGTTTTTATGCCCAACTCTGATGTTTGACTCGAACGAGCAAACGTTTGCTGGATGAAATTTATTATATGAACTCAATCATCAATAAATTAATTGATCTTCAATAAATACATGGTCATCTTGTTGTTGGTCCAAAACTGGTGCCATCTTGCCTAACCCAATAAAGAATTTTACAATAAGCAATGGCAAGTCCTTAGAATTCAATTAGCAAAAAGTTACATGAAATTACCAATTTACACAACAGAGATTATTACACATTAACATACTTTAGGATGTACTTCTATCATTTTAGGTTACTTTAGGCTGGTGGTGTATATTTTTTACATAATTTTAGACTGTACTTGTAACCTTTTAGGGTTATTTAGGTTAATGAAAGAGTGATTGTTTGGTTAACTACAAGACACATTTCTAGTTTGTAAATTATAAGAGCTTTTTAGGTATTTTATAAGGACAAAGTACTTGACAAGCTGAAAGTATCTCTACATGTAAATAGACAATTGAAAACTATTGTGTTTATGTAATTTTATAAATATAAAAATAAATCAATAAAGAAATGTAGATCAAATACCAAAAGCATAGTTGAAACTCATCGACTTGCTAATTACCAAACTTGTTCAAATCAATCATGAGATTTTGGGGGATATAGAAGATTTATAAAAGGTTTCAACAATTTTCTTTTTGCAAATTTAAAATTTATTTCTGGTAGTTTTCTTCAAAAAATTATAGGCCATAGGCCAATGCTCCTATGCCCAGAACTGACCATACTTCAAGTGATGAGATATAATCAAGTTTCTTCTTTTCTGTTTTTCAGACTGTTGTTTAAGACCATCAATTATGTTTTTCAGACTGTTGTTTAAGACCATCAATTTTTCATTTAGAGACTTTGTTAAACAAAAGAGTCAATTTGGTGGGAGAAGAGATACTTACTTTTCTGATGAGCTGTTCTTTAAAAAAATATATGATAGACTTAGGAAAAATGGAAGTAATCTCTTGTGGCCGTTCTGCCCAACCCTGATAAAGAATCGCAACCACCTGTTTTTCGAGTGCTTGTACACGGAAGAGTACTGAGTAGCCTGACTAGAAATTAAACTACTCGGCTTACTGTACACAACAGTTTGGGACAAGATCATGAAAGTGTTTTGTCATTCCCCACTAGACAAGTTGTATCCTTTTCTATTATGTCAAGTATTTCAAGCTGCAATCCACTTAATTTGTCTAACATGATTATGCCAAGTCAACCCATCGACCTTGTCCAATACATCGAGACACGTTTAACAAGTTGTCTTCTCGTTGAAGTGAACTGAAGTAAGATGTTCTTATATTCTTTTTTTTTGGTCAACAAAGATGTTCTTATATTCAATCGCTATAGCCTATAGGGTAATCAACACAATAATAACACAATTGCATTTCCAGAAGATTGACATCTCAGCATTTTCTAGTTTTATGGAGTCGACACATCAATAAATGAACAAGTGAATTGCAATAGAAACAAAAAAAATTGACACATCAACGCCACATATTTTAACAAAAATACAAAAGCCTCTTAATTTCTATCGTTGATGAAGAATGTATGACCTCTGCGTGCCTCAACAAATACATTCACACGTTGGCATATATATTCACACAAAAGTATGTCATACTTTTCCGTTGCAAAATTTCCTAAAATACTTTTATTTTAGTATGGTTATTGGCTCGCTCACAGCTAAGTTATATAAGGGGATTTTGGCGAGCATTTTGTTATAAAATATCATCCGTGTATCATGTCCAGCTCGAATTCTTCTAAAGACAACTCTTTGTAGCCATATCTTTGCGGCTTAGTGCGGATATTTACATAGTATTTCTAAAAACTCCAAAAACAGAATCACATCTGATTGTTTAACAAGTTGTTCTGACTTCCAAACAGTGAAGGTAGACGGTTCCTACTTTGCTATAGATTTCTACCAGTGGACATCTTCATAAATTATATTTAGTCCTATGCAATGGATCCTCAGTTAAAGATGTAAGATAACCAGTGCCAGACCCATATTTTTTTATAGTTGCATCTAGATACTTTTAGAATAAACGCATTTCAATTAGTTTTCATTTCCAACAAAATGTGCTCCTTGGATTTTACAATATCGAGGTTGATCCATGTATAATTCGATATGGTCAATGATTTTTAGTAATACACAGTGATGGATCTAGAAACGTTTCTAGCTGAAGACACATTACTTAAAATAACATAAATAACTTTTGATTGGGAGCACTCTTTATGTTTATTCACCAAATTACAGAGAGTTCAATCAAATTTGTCTAAATTATTCAAGAAAAATAAAATAAAAAAAGTAGAGGGCATGTGACCTCATACCGGTACACATACATCTGCCCCTGGTAATATATGAAGTTCATCATCTCTACTTTGTCTTTAAGTAATTGACGAACTCATCCAATGCACTATATGAGGAGCATCCACTTCTCAAAGAGGCTTTGAGCTTTTCAAATACATTCACACCTTGGCATATACATTCTTACAAAAGTATGCCATACTTTTTCTTACAAAATTTCCTAAAATACTTTTATTTTGGTATGGTTATTGGCTCGTGCACAGCTACGTTTTTCAGATGATTTTAGTGAGCATTTTGTTATAAAATATCATCTGTGTAATATGTCCAGCTCGAATTCTTCTAAAGACAATTCTTGGTAGCCATAGGAAAAACAAATTCACACCTTTATATGAAACCTTATCAGCACTAATCATCATGTGACAAATCACTATGATATCTATTGGTGTATATGCTTTCTGAAGAGTTCTAACCAAAATATGGATACGCTATCAAGAATTTTAGAAATTACATTATCTAAAATTATTTTATACTAATTCAGTAAAAATAAAAAATTTGTATAAAACTTATGCGGTTTAGTGCGGATATTTACCTAGTATTTCTAAAAATTCTACAAACAGAGTCACATCTGATTGTTTAACAAGTTGTTCTAACTTCCAAACAATCAAGGCAGATGGTTCCATCTTTTCTATAGACTTCTACCAGTGAACATCTTCATAAATTATATTTAGCCCTATGCAACGGATTCTCAGTTAAAGATGTAATATAACCAGTGCTAGACCCACATTTTTTTATAGTTGCATCCAGATACTTTTAGAATAAACGTATTTCAATTGGTTTTTATTTCCAGAAAACTGTGCTCCTTAGATTTTACAATATCAAGGTTGATCCATATATAATTCAATATGGTCAATGGTTTTTAGTAATACACAGTGACGGATCTAGAAACCTTTTTAGTTGAAAGCACATTACTTAAAATAACATAAACAATTTTTAATTGAAGGCTCTCTTTATGTTTATTCACTAAGCTACAAATAATTTAATCAAAATTTTCTAAATTATTCAAGAACAAAAAACAGTAGGGGGCACATGACCCTGTACCGGTACACATACATCTACACATACAATATCAAGGTTGATCCATATATAATTCAATATGGTCAATGGTTTTTAGTAATACACAGTGACGGATCTAGAAATGTTTTTAGTTGAAGGCACATTACTTAAAATAACATAAACAATTTTCAATTGAAGGGGCTCTTTATGTTTATTCACTAAGCTACAGATAATTTAATCAAAATTTTCTAAATTATTCAAGAACAAAAAACAGTAGGGGGCACATGACCCTGTACCGGTACACATACCTGGTACTACATGAAGTTCATCATCTCTACTTTTTCTTTAAGTAATTGAAGAACTCATCCAATGCACTATATGAGGAGCATCCAATTCTCAAAGAGGCTTTGAGGTTTTATTTCAAAACAAGTGCTCTCTCCCTCGTCTCTTCACTTTCTTAATCCACAATCAACCTAGTCACACCTCTCTCTACCTTTCCTCTTTCTACTTCACCTTCCAGCTGAATCCTTATTTCCCAAACACTTACCATGTCCGATGCGTTTACCGTCTGCTCGCTTTGAAAAGACCTACAAATCATTGGAACTCCTTCCACAATGCTCTCGAGTGTTGAGTTCCATACACAGTGGCTCCCGAACCCTCTCACAGCAGGAATGACCCATAGAAAAGGTTGGTTACTATTACACAGCCCCCAATCCATCTCCAAAACTTACTTGGTTTCATTTGAGCTATGGTTCCAACGCTTATGTAAATGGCTGACCTCTATTTCTGCTTGTTTGACCATTCAATGCAGACCTTGTCCTCTTCCAGGAAACTAGAAGGTGGTGAAGCTGTAACGTGAAGAGGGCCTAACGCGTACACTTCATTTCCAAGTTCTTGTTTCAGCCATGACACAGATAAGCTCTCTATACAACTCGTCGCATTGAAAATAACATCGGAAACTGTTCTTTGTTGACTACTTCTCGACGGATCTTAAAAAGGCCCAAATCCTGAAGGTAACAGATCTATGTATCTTAATGGATACAAATTATCCACCACCACTTTCTGCATTTATGATCTTCAAATTTAAAAATAAAAACCATGTTTTAATGAAGCACGTTGCTTTAAAATGGGTACCTTTGATGTCAATCAAAAACTTCTATGAATGTAGTTTGCTAAAAAATGCAATATGAAACATGATTTGTAGCACTTTGAGTGCTGAATATAACACTGGGAAGCTTGCACTCTTAAGCTAAATGTCCAAAAAAGTACATCAACTCGTTGTAGATGATACAATCAATATCATTGCCATGTTTCAGCAACAACTGACCTATACAGTCCTTAAAACTTGCCTCGCTCGTTTTGTTGAGCATTATCATAAACTCAATTTGTCCGAGTCCCTCGACTTTATACTTTGGCAAGCTTTTTGGTAATAAGACAAACTGAAAACCAAAGAAGTGTTGTGGAGAGCTTACTAGATTGAACTATACTTGAACAACAAAATTGAAAAGCCCTTCAAGTTAAGAGCTCTTCTGAGTGCCAGACCAGTTCTCTCTCTCTCTCTCTCTTTCAGGTTCACTTTATGGTTAACCAGTTCGCGACTTCGATCACTCGTTTGTTGATTTGAGAAAGAAGAAGGATAGAAGAAGAAAGTAGAATGAACACAAAGCAAGTTTTAGAGTTCCCCGTCAATCTCTGGGTATATCTCTTTCAGGATCAAAACCCGGTAATTCACTATCTCCTTAGCGGTTACAGAACCTTTTCTTGCTGATACAAATAATTTCTCATCGCTTCTATGCTTCAGGTTAAAGATATAAAGAAGACGATGGTCGTTGCAAGTTGTTATGTGAGAGTTGATTCCCCGCAACGGTCCTTACGGTAACACATGTGTCATGAGACAATCATTTAATCACTGAGGCCCATTAGCAGCTTATGTTTTTGGTTTCGTCTTGGATTGAAGCCCACACATGAGTTGAGTCGAGAACCACAATCTCATAATCTCCACCTTGGTGTCGACTTCGGCTTTTTTTCTTCCTTGTCCGAAACCCTAGCCTCCACGAACTGCCAATCTCCATTTCCTTACGAAACCCTCCGGCAAGTTCTCCATGGCCTTCGATTCTGGTTCTCCGGCTCTTTTTTCCTCACTTCAAACCCTTTCCATCTCAATCCAAACTCAGATCTTAATACTTCCCATCTCTCTAACTTCTGAGATGCTTTATCTTCTCCAGTCTTCTTCTTAGTTCCAAATATGACCAGCCTCCAAGCTTCTTTAAGCTTCGGTATGACGCCTAGTTTAGCTAAGCAGCTTTCAAACTTCTCTCTATGTATTGTCTTCGTTGACATATCAGCTGGATTCGCTCTTTAGAACTTCCACAATTTCATCTGCTATAATATCTCTGATGAAATTGTACTTTGTAGCATTGTGCTTAGTCTTTTCTCTATAAATGAAGTTCTTGGTCTTCACATAATATTTAGCTTGTACAATGGAGGTAAATTGTTTGAACAATGGAGGTAAATCACAATTTACCTCCATTGTTCCACTATTTAGCTTTAGCTCCTCACATATCCTTTTTAACCAGATTCCTTCCTTCACTGCATTCGATAACGCCATGTACTCTGCTTCTGTTGTTGACAGGGCAACTACTATCTGCAACGATGAACTTCAGCTTATGGTGTTACCTCCCACGGTGTAGACATAACCGGTAATGGACCTGCTTCTATCTCTATCTGTAGCGTAATCGGAACCACAGTAGCCTCTGATCTTGAAGTCTTTACCTTTCTTGAAAGTTAAGTTCAACTCTAATGCTCTTTTCACGTATTTCATTATCTATTTGACTGCTAACCAGTGCTCTCTTCTAGGTTTTCTCATATATCTGCATACCAAACCAACTGCGTATGCAAGATCATGTCTGGAGCCAACCATTACATACATCAAGCTCCCTACCGCACTAGAGTAAGGTACTTCATCCATTTCTCTAGCTTCTTCTTGTTCTTTATCATTGGGAATAGCTTGCAACTTGAAATGTGATCCGAGCGGTGTACTCACTGCTATGCATTCACTCATGCCAGACGTCTTTAAGACTTTGGCAAGATACTCGTTTTGCGATAGAATCAGTCTCTGTTCAGACCTATTTCTGACAATATCCATCCTTAGTATCTTTCTAGCTCCCCTTAAATCCTTCATTTCAAACCCTGAGCTGAGCTGATCCGTTAACTCTTGAGTTCGTGTCACTCCTTCGACGCTATTAGCATATCATCTACGTAGAGCAATAGATAGATCATATTCTCCATTTACAATCTTCTTAGATAGACACAGAGGTCATACTCACTTCTTCAGTAGCCTTGCTTAGTCATGAATGTATGAAACATGTAGTTACATTCCCTTGGTTATTTTTTTAGCCTGTAGAGTGACTTTCTTAAAAGGCAGACCATATCCCCTTTCTCCTTCTTAACGTACCCCTCTGATTGTTCCATATAAACCCTCTCCTTTAGAACCCCATGTAGGAAAGTTGTCTTCACGTCTAGCTGCTCCAGTTTTAAGTCAAATTGCACCACAACAGATATAAAAATTCATATAGATATGTGCTTTTGAAAGTGACCTTCTTCTTTTCTTTGGGAGCCTCAACATCTTCAATTATATAATTGCCCTTCTCTAGATCTTTGAACAGTCTTGACTCATCGAAGACGACATCTTTTCTTATCACAACCTTTTGTTCCTCTATAACCCATAAACGATAGCCCTTAGTACCTTGAGCATACCCTAGAAAGATCCCGTTTGATTCTCTCGGGCTCATCTTCTCATTTACTTGATGGACGTAGGCAATGCATCCAAAAATTCTTTGATGATCATAGCTTGGTTTTCCTCCTGTCCATCTTTCTTCTGGAATCTCAAAAGTTATCAATGAGTTTGGGGACCTGTTGGTTAGATACACGTCAGTTGACGCAGCTTCTGCCCAATATCTACCATCCAATCGTGTTTCCACCAACATTGACCAAACTTTGTTCATAATGCTCCGGTTCCTTCTTTCTGAGTGTCGTTTTGCTGTGGAATGTAGGGACAAGTTTTGTGTCTCTTAGTTCCAGAGTCCCTAAAAAGCTTGTCCAGCTGTTGGTTTCAAAACTCCAACCCTTTTTCTGTTCTCAGACACTTGACTTTCTTTCCAGTTTGATTCTCCACCAGCAATTTCCAATCTGCAAAACATTGAAACACCTCATCTTTAGTTCTAAGAAAATATATCCATACTTTTTTAGAATAATCATCGGCAAGATTTAGGAAGTAATCCCCTAATAATCTCGGTATTGTATTAGGTGATCCCTAAAAGGTCCGAGTGTATATACTCGAACACTCCCTTTGAGTATCGCTTTGCTTTGGGAAAGCTATGTTTATGGGACTTTCCCATAGCACATCCTCGCAGAACCTAAGATTTGCTATCTCCTTCCTGTTCAAGTATCCCTTTTTGGCCAGAATTTCCATGGGCCGTATATTCATATGAGCCAATCTCGAGTGCCATTTCTTCTTATGATACATAGAGTCCTTTGCTGCATTTGCTTCAGCTTTTCTAACTGTTTCCTGAAGATAGTAGAGGCCATTAGCATATCTTCCTGTTTGAACCTTCTGATTTCCTTTACAGAAAATTATCATGTAGTTTTCTCCTTTGTAAGAGCACCCTGACTATTCTAGTTGTCCGTATGAGATTAAGTTTCTTCCCATATCTAGCATGTACCTCACACCACTTAGAGTCTCCACCGAGCCATCATTGTTATCTACGGTGATCTTTCCAATTCCTTTGACCATGCATAATGAATTGTTTCCCATCATGACTTTTCTTACATTCATTTCCAAAAATTCAGATAGTAGATCCTTTCTTGGTGTGATATGAAAAGTACACGCTGAATCCAGTACCCACTCGTCCTCAAAGACAAACAAACTAGCCGTTAGAGCCACAGGGCCTGGAAGATTAAGGGAAATGTTAGCTGAGTTGTTTTTCTTAAGAGACTGGGAATTCTTCTTCATTTCTAGACAATCAATTTTTCACTATAATTTGCTTCCACGGATCCAGCAGGACTTATCTTGCTTCCCCGAGGTCTTTCCTCTAGTCTTTGCTCTAAATCTTCATTTGGTCTTGTTTTGCTAATGTTTATTGTTTCCTGAATCACTGCGACTTGTTGATATTCCTCTTGCTTTCGTGTATAAGCCCTGAGATGTCTTCCTTTTGTTCCAAGCTCCTTGGAGTAAACGAATGCCATTACCTCACTAACCGTAAGAATATCCTTCCCATTACCATATTGTAAAGTATGAAACAGAGGTTCATACGCATTTGGTAAACCATATAGTAGTTGTATGGCCTGGTCCTCATCTGAGACAATTACTTTGATGCTTGTCAAGTCGTCAATTAGCTTCAGGAATCGATCAAAGTTCTTTTCCATGGTCGTTTCTTCCTCCATCTTGTAACACGACAACTTCTTCTTTAGGTATATCCTATTTGGCAAGGACTTAGTTTGGTAGTCCTTTTCCAGGGCTCTCCACATTCCTAATGCTGTAGTCTCGTGCATTATCTCCCTTAGGATCACATTGCTTAGACAAGTGCTGAATAAGCTTCTGACTCGTAGATCCCTCTCAGACCTTTAGGATCTTTCTTTATCTCGATGGCTTTCTCTGACTTTGTTGAGTCTTCTGTGGACGTAGTTTCCTCATCAAGAACTGATAGGGATTGTTGAATC